TGTTTTCCTCCTCCTCTTTCTCCTTCTTCTTCCTCTTCCTTCTCCTCCATGACACTCACAGGTATTTTTCCTAGTTCCAGATCCATCTGTTTGTAAAGCAGAGGATGGGAGGCAGCAAACAATTAGGACCAATTTTGTAATTCCTTCCTCTTGAATCTATGGGCCAGGATAAGGAAAAAGAGGAGAATCACACGGTCTCGTGAAAGTCGTGCCGAATGTTTGAGGATTTAGGCACAGCTGACGTCTCTCTCTCTCTCTCTCTCTCTCTGTCTCCCCTTTCCTCAAAAGCTGGTCCATTCCTCCCTCAGTCTCCGGTCTTGTGAACCCTCAGAGGGTCTCAGAGAAACAGGCTGAGGTGGAGCGAAACGGCTGGCAGTCATTCCCCAGGGCGGGCTGTTTCGTGGGTTGGATGATGGACATGCAGAGACTCTAAACACAGGTGTGAAGATCCTCCTTAGTGGAGGTTTCCCCCTGCCCTGAAAAGGAAGCGTCTCTCTTCCACCTGCACCCCCCAAAGAGCAAGCTGGGGCACCCACAGCAAGTTCGGAGCACAACCCACAATCATTCCTTAGAAGAAGCCTTCCTCTCTCTCTTTTTTTTTTATTTTGTATTTTTTCCGGAGGGGGGAATGGAAACGGATACAAAGGGTGTTAGGCCCGCTCTGAGATGGCTTGCAGACTTGTGCCAATTTTCAGTGAGGTCCCCAAGCAGAGAGAACTGGTATAGGGGCCTCGGCTGCTAAGGTGAGAGCTTTTTTTGGAGGTCACTTGTCATCTGGAAGCAACCAGGAAAGAAAAAAAAATACTGAAGGCCCACTGAATCGTTGGAATCCATGGGGGGCTACCAGGGTTGAAACCACTCACTGAATGTAAATTGCAGGCGAGTGCAGGAAGATTATGGAAGGAAAACGGGACGACCGGGATGCCCCAAAGACGACAGGGGAACGGGACCATGAAGCCTCGCCAGGAAACACCCGGGACTACAGATCCAAAATCCTGAATTCGAATCTGCCGCAAACTGGCCGGCTGGTATTAACCCTCTCCCCTTCTCTTTCTCTCCTCTTTCCCTCGTCTGCTCTCAGAACTCACGTCTTCCTCATCTGCCAACTGGGCGTAATTCTTGTTTCATGAAGGGCCGAAGTGTGTCGGAGAAATAATTTTGAATCTCGTGCAGAAAATATTTCAGTAAATGTCCTCGGCCCTCCTGAATCCAGGGTGGGGCTGTGGAGGAAAGAGGAGAGGGAAGACATGCCTGGCGTTCTAATTCTCAATTCCTTTTTCTCTCTCTGTTAAAAAAAGGGAGAGGGGGGATAACAATAATGGAAATTTAGGGTTGACAGAGAGCCTCAGACACCATGGCTTCTTTGGACGACAAAATCAGGGATGCTGATTTGTTCCAAATCGCAACCTAGTTCTGTAGATCAGAGCCAGCTGGACATGTGCAGTGGGTGGGTCAGGATCCAGCTTCTTAAGATGGATGCAAACAGTATTTAAAGATGACTTGAAATGGTTTGGCAGGAGCAGGGTCGGGCCGAGGAACATATGCGTAACTAAAATGCCTGTTTCTGAACTACTCCTTCTGTCGTTCAATATATATAGAGAGAGAGAGCGAGAGAGATTCCAAGCTCCAACCTTTAGCACTTATAGATCATCGCCTTCCACAATTAGCAGGAAATGCAATGAAAACAGAGGCGCCCGTACACCATATTAGACAGCAATGCTTTTCCTCATGCCAAAAGCCTCTGTCCGTCAAACTAAACTCCCGTTTAACAAAGGCTCCCCATTCACGTTAATTATTAGTTTCCTTCCTATGGATACTAGCTATTTTATTGTTTTCTGTTTAGGGTGGCTGGGGAGATCATTTTACTGTAAAGGGTTAAGAGTGGAAAAGTGTACCAAGAATCCTCCAGGATCAGGCCCAAGGCTCTATTTCAACTCTGATGTTCCTAATATGACTCTCAGCTTCATCTGTGAGGGGAGACCACCGTGTACTTAACTCTTTTGGACCCCCCCATAAAAATTTAGAATAAATGTAGCAGATAAATCCCCTCCAGCCACCCTGAACAGGAAGCAATAAAATGACTCTATAGACAATATACTCTTTATTAGAAGAAGAATCACATGCTGGGTTTCTTCTGAAGACTTGAATCACACACGTTACAGCTAATCCGTCGCGGGAACAAGGCGTTCATGGAGTGCTGATAGCGTAGGACTGTCACGTTGGGGGCTTTTTCTTTCTCTTCCTATAATTGGAAAATTCGTTTGCTCTGTTTTGCAGCTGGACTTCAGGATATTACTCAGTTTCCCTATAAACCTGACTTCTCACACCTGAAAAGAGGCTTCTTCAGTCTGCTCTCTCGAACTCTTGACGTGATGTCGATTTTAACGTCGGGTCCTCTGTAACGTTGTGATTTCACCTTGGTCTTCCGTCAAGGGCTACGCATGTTGGCTGTGTTTTTAACATGTAATGTTTCGTTGGTAGGATGCAGTTTGGATTATGTCTTTTGGTGGCTGTTCTTCAAATCCTGAAAGGCAGCTCTTAGAAGGTGAATCTCGGTGGGATGGATGGATGCCACCGGACTCTTGAACCTCGAACTATGAGGTCAGGGCTCTGGAGGATGATAGATGGGGGGGGGTTTGGAATCTGGTGGGGCAGAGGTCTAAATTTACAGGGTCAGAGAGCCTCACTGTCTGCCCGACATTGAGAATTGAACCTTGTAGACCAGTGGTCCCCAACCTTGGGCCTCCAGAGGTTCTTGGACTACAATTCCCAGAAGCCTTCACCACCACCTCTGCTGGCCAGGATTTCTGGGAGTTGAA